GGCAGGACAGGTTTTGGGGATGGAGATCCCGCTGGCAGGGCCTGGCTCTGGGGCTGTCATGCTGGGGGCATTGGTACCAGCAGGGGGTCTCAGCCCAGCTCCGGGACTCAGGGCGAACTCCCAGCCTGGGAGTCACTGCAGGGTGGAGACCGGAGGATGGCACATTGTTCCTTCCGGGGGTGGAGGCCCCGGGGGCCCAGAGCGAGGGGACTCCTTGAGGGGCCCCACTGCACAGACAGGCTGCTGAGGGCTCAGAGGTGCAGTCACCGGAGGCAGCGGAGTCAGAGGGACCTAACCCCAGAGAGAGAGCGCAGCCTTCCCGGGGGGCTGTGTCACACCGAAGGGGGGCTGCTCTCGGAGGCCGCACGGAGCCGGCAGCCCGGGGCCTGGGTGACAGCCGCCCCTGCGAACATTTTGGTTGGTGAACATGGAGCAAATGCTTAATAATAAACATTGCTCTTAGCTGTAGAAACTACAAAATAATTCCCAGAGCTCAGCCGGCTGCTGTCTCTGCCCCTCCTCCCGCTGCTGCTTCCCTCCTCCGCCCCCAGGTTCCTGTTTATTGAATGTCAGAGCCCAGCCCAGGCAGTTCTCAGGGCTCTCGGGCCTGGCCAGTTTCAGCCCCGGCCAGCTGGGTCTGTCCCCGTCCCCATGGGCTCTGGCTGCTCCTTGTCCCCAGCTGCCTCCTGCTTCCAGCCCAGCCCCCTATATTCCCTCCCCCAACAGCCCCTCCTTCGTCCTCTGTCTTCTGTCCCAGGTAAACAGGTCACCTGGGCCCCTCTCTTCCGTCCTTTGTTCCCCTCTGGCTGGAACCGGCTGGTCAGGTCACCGGCCCCTTTCTTCTGTTCCTTGTTCCCCTCGGGCTGGAACCGGCTGCTCAGGTCACCGGCCCCTCTCTCCTCAGCCCCACACTGGCCAGAACCAGCTGACTGCCAAGCTGGGGGCTCGCTGGGTCCCCCATCTCAAGGGTCCTGGCTGCCAGGTGAGGTCACACCTGGTCCTCTGCAACAACAAACCCTCTCCCACCACCTTGTTACACACACAGACACAGGGAAACTGAGGCACGCACCGTGTTCATGCCAAGCACTAAGAAAGCTCCCCACTTTGTCACAGTGAGACATTATGGGGTGAGGCCAGGCAATGGGGGGGGGGTCAGACAATAATTAGTTAAGGACAGTAACTGCTGAGCTGCACAAAGTGAGAGCCTGATAAAGTATTAAAACACAAACTACCAATGTCACGTGACAGCAGATACAAAGGCAAAAGGCTGAAGTCAAATTCAGGCATTCGCAAGCAGCATTCTTCTTACTTTGCCTGTTTGCAAACCTCAATGATCATCCATGGGACTATTGTTTTGTGAGGCCTGCAGCCCCCTGCTATCCCAATGGGGCCGAAGCCACCTGGTACCACTCGAGAGAGAGTCTGGGAGTCACTGGGGACAGTTCTGTGAAAACATCTGCTCAGTGCGCAGCGGCCGTCACAAAATGAGCAGAATGCTGGGAATCACTAGGAAAGGGAGAATGAGACAGAAAATATCAGGTTGCCTCTATATAAATCCACGGTACGTCCACACCTTGAATACTGCGTGCAGATGTGGTCGCCCCATCTCAAAACAGACTGGAATTGGAAAAGGTACAGAAAAGGGAATAGAAATGATTAGGGGCATGGAACGGCTGCCGTGTGAGGAGGGATTAATAAGACTGGGGCTGTTCAGCTTGGAAAAGAGATGACTAAGGTGGGATACGATAGAGGTCTGTAAAACCCTGACTGGTGCGGAGAAAGTGGATAAGGAAGTGTTGTTTACTCCTCCTCATAACACAAAACGAGGGGTCACCCAATGACAGTAACAGGCAGAAGGTTTAAAGCGAAGGGCAGTGTTTCGTCACACAGGCTGGGAGCCCATCACCGGTGCTCCCTCGAGGTCGAAGCCGATCGCTTTCACAGGGTTTATTTTTCATGGGTCCTTAGGAGTCTGACCCTCGAACTCGTTGGCCGACGTGGCAGGTGGTGTTGGAAGACGGGGTTGGCCCGTGATGGCTGCGTGACCGTTGTCTTTCCTTTCTTTGGGCCTCCCCGTTTCCTTTCTCCTTTGGGGCGTTGGGCGCACGGAGGTTGTTCTGGTGGGTGGACGTCGGGCGCACGGTGCCTGCTCCACCGCAGCGGGGGCTGGATCACTGGGGCCTCGACACTGACGATGTTGGCGCCTCTGTGCG